AGCGAAGCATTAGTGAAGCCAATACCGGTGAACGATACAACTTCCACTCTTGGCAATGATGAGAACAAAGTTGAAACTGCTATTGAACCGTGTGATATCGTCAAACTTGGCACCTCAACAAATGAATCCGAAAATGCACCTTCAAAACCTAAACAGCAATCTGATGAAAATAGTGTAAAGCAAGGTGTAAAGGTATGCTATTTTCGTAATGCAAAACAAAATTGTCTCATTACTAATATTCATTTTTAACAACTTTTTTAGCGCAAACAAGATTCAAACGTTGACGTTTCACAACGTGCAGAGAATACCACAAATGGCTTGGGTTTGTTGTCGGAAACAAATCAGAAAAAGGTCAAGTCGGTTCAGTTTCAAGTGGAATCATCAGTGGATGGAAAAACTGATACTGTAACAAATGTTAAAGAGACTGAAAAAGAAAATAAAGGCAATTTAGCAGAACTAGCCATGCCTAAGAAAAGCCCTTTTAGCATAAATCAATTGCGCGTCATGTCAAAGCAAAGCTGGAATCAGTACAAAAATCGCTACCTGAAACTACAAAGAAGCGTCGCACCCCAAACAAACAACTTTGCCATGAACAACAACTACCAGTGTGAAGATTTACTGGTGAATCTAGATTTGGCTAGAAAACAACAACAACAAAAAAGGAAAAAAGCACCTTTAAACAGCACCTTAAAGCGGACTGGCCAAACAGGCAAAAGGTGCAGTTTTTCCAACGCCGACACTGAAGTTTCACCGTCAAAACAAGGGGCCGGCACGTCTGCATCTATCTGCTCTAACATTGTTCAGCTGGTGCTGCAAACAAACAAGGCGCAGGCAATTGAATCCGGTCGCATTCGACGCAATCTTCGTACCTTCTTCGAGACTGCTTCATCTTCAAAAGCTGACGACCCAAACAGTGCTCTACCGCCGCCGCTACCTTCCCCTTCTGACATTGCTTTCATCGACTGTGAGCACGGCATTCACTTTCAAACGGATGGATCGATGCAGTTGACTGCTTTCATACGCACACACGACGCCGAATCGGCAGCAAAGTTGGTACTGAATGATGACGGCGATGAGAAGAAGGACGACGACGGTGACAGGGAGTCAACCACAAATGCGCCAGCCACCAACTTTCGGCAACTACTCAACGCTCACTTGGGAAGCAGCGTTACTTTGAAAAAAGTTGCACTGTTGGATAAAGTTGCAATTGAAAACTACTGGGCACTGGTTAATCAGTCAAAGGGAAGAAACAATTACAACAACTGCAACTACAACTATCACACAAATTCGCACAAGTTTCGTAATGGACGTAAATGAAGCCACATTTTTCTGTTACACCACAAACTGCATACTCAATGCACAAACAAACAACAACAGTTAGTATCACACTATTACTTTTACTTTTGATCTTTGAGTACAAGCCACACAGTACAAACGCTGTTAATTTTGATTATGTTGTGTCAATATGTTCGTGTTGCCCAGCTGGACATTTGATGATAAACAATTTGATATGTATCTGTGTTATTCAATGTTTGATTGTGAAAATAACACACTACTAAAGTACAAAGTTAAAAATTTAAAACTGTGTTTCATTTTTTGAATTGGCAAACTGGCCATAGTGTCTCTAACTTGCACAAACGGTTTGATCAGCCTCACAAACGCCCTCAACTGTAGTGGCAAACAGATGGCCACTGCCGCAGACGCAAAGCTAAATAAGAATAAATATACAGCAAAATGTATGGATTAACGTCAACAAAAAGAGGTTCAGAAGTAACTCTTCAACTTACCTGGTAGGCGGCCGCCTCTTCACTACCAGAAACTTTTTGGTGATGGCCTTGCTGGTGGTGATGGTGCTGGTGTCGCCACTGATGATGATGATGCTGCTGTTCCTCGTAGTGCTGTCCACCTCCACTACCTCGAAGATGGCCCATCTGAACGTTGGCACTGTCAAAGTGAAGATGATGTTGATCATCCCCACCTCCACTACTAACGACATTCAACTGAAGTGCATCATAGGACTTCACTAGCGTTGAGGGTGAATCTCCACTGCTCATCGACTCCACCTCAATTGCCTGCTGAGAGGAAAGCTGAAGGGCGCCAGTTCGTGATTCAATGCTAGGTAAAAAATGTGTGTTTTAAAATTAAAATCTGAACAGTACAACAAAAACAAAGGCAAAAACCTTACTGAAATTCCTGTCGTGCATCAGAGCGCACTTCAGTCGTGTCTAGCTTGGCCGTCAATCGTAGACCGCCCGGCGGGGCCTTTAGCTGTTGATCTACACCGCTTTCAAAACTTAAAGTTGTCGGTGTCAGCTGAAAAGTGGTGGCGCCGTTTTCTTCCACTTCAAAATTNCGTGCATCAGAGCGCACTTCAGTCGTTTCCAGCTTGGCCGTCAATCGTAGACCGCCCGGCGGGGCCTTCAGCTGCTGATCTACACCGCTTTCAAAACTCAAAGTCGTCGGTGTCAGCTGAAAAGTGGTGGCGCCGTTTTCTTCCACTTCAAAATTAGTCGTTTTCACTTCAAAAGCATGCCCAGACAGAGTGATGCTCTGTGGAAGCTGGGGATGACTGCTGGTATCAAGCGAGGAGGATTGATTGTGAGTATCCTTTCTTGTTGTCAACGTTAGTTGATCTGCGGTTGAAGCCACTCCAAAGATGCCGCCGTTCGCTACTTCAACGTTTTTTACTTGAAGATTCTGCTTAGCAGTCAGCGATCCGTCAATGGACAAGGTAACGGGTGTGCGAGGAGTGTTACTGTTTCTTTGCCCACTACCGTAACGAAGAGGATTGGTGTTCTAAGTTTAAAAAAGTTTAAATTTTTAATTTCAAATTAATTACAAACAAAAGCTTTTTCCAAACCTTATGCAAACGCAACGAAACAATAATCCACGATGTGAGCAGCAGGTTGAGCAGCACGCAGCCGATCAAAAGCTTTAAAAGGATGGATACAACGCGAAAACGTTCACTGCCAAACGGTTTCATCCAGCTGACTTGATTGTGGTAGTTTTGCTGAGGGCCTGGAGTTAATGACCAAAATCTGCAGCAGTTGAAAAGTGAGTTGGGTCCAGCAAAAAAAGATGAGTTCATCATTGATGGTCTCGATTGACTTTGAGGAACCGATGTAGTGGACATCAGGGAAACTATTGCCCTGTCACCGTTTCCACTGCAGACCACAGCAGTGTTTTGTTGATGCTGCATCATCATTTGATGCAAACAAGATTCCCGGTTTATTAAATTTTACCGGTTTTTGTTGATAAAAACGATTACCATTGCAAAAATTTACATTCAGGCAAATACAAAAAAATGTGAGTGTTTATTATGTACAAAAAGTGTGTATTAAAAAACAGCAGCAACTGCACTCGACCTCAGTTGACCCGACAAAAAAGCATTACGAGCCGATGAGAAGGACATAAAGCGGGCGCCCCTGATTGGCTGGTGGGTATATAGCGAATTGTGCAACAAAAGCGCAAGCGCCTTACTGGAACATCAAAAAAGAAAGAGAAAGAGAGAGAAAATAAAAATGGCTAGTGGGCCGCCATTTTAACGTGCCAATTGGAACGCTGCTTTGCGGCAAATCCATCTAGCGGTGGGAAAAATCACAGCAGAATATAAATGGCAAAATTGAAAAAAACTAGTTTGTTACATGAGGTTAGATTTGTTGAAAAAAGATAAAGAAGAAAAAAGGTTTTATCATAGGTTTTCATTCAATAGCTAAGTTTCTACACTACTTCTACCACCATTGGAATTTCTACTTTGGCCCAAAGACAGTCTCAGCTCTCCTCTGAAGTAGTCGATCGTCTTGACCAGTCCCTCCTCGAGCGTCACATTGGGCGTCCAGCCGTGCAGCGTCCGCTTCGCCAGACTAATGTCCGGCCGCCGTCGACGAGGGTCGTCCACCGGCGTGGGAAAGTGCTCAATGTGGGCGTCGTAGTCGAGATCTGAGTCCAAATGGCCAGTGCCATTGGCTGCCAACTTTGTTCTTCCATTGACTGTCCCCAACTGGTTCGTTCGGTTGGAGCCGTGCACCAGGTCGAGGACGATGCGGGCAAAGTCGGCGATCCGTGTCTCCTCCGGGTTGCCCAGATTGACTGGCTGGCTGTAGTTGGCGGCCATCAGCCGCACCAGGCCCTCCACCAGGTCGGTGACGTACTGAAAGGAGCGCGTCTGCCGGCCCTCGCCGTACACCGACAGTCGCCGGCCTTGCAGCGCCTGGCTGATGAAATTGGACACTACTCGGCCGTCGTGGACGTGCATCCGCGGGCCGTAGGTGTTGAAGATGCGAGCGACGCGCACCTCGAGGCGTTCCTGTTTGGCGTAGGCGTACGTCAGCGCCTCCGCCACCCGCTTGCCCTCGTCGTAGCAGGAGCGCGGCCCAATTGGATTGACATTGCCCCAGTACGTCTCCGCCTGAGGGTGGACCGTAGGGTCGCCGTAGACCTCGCTGGTGGAGGCGACCAGAATTCGGCCGCCGACCCTCTTCGCCAGGCCCAGCATGTTGATGGTCCCCACGGTGTTCGTCTTGATCGTCTTCACGGCGTTCATCATGTAGTGCGGCGGACTGGCCGGACTGGCCAGGTGGTAGATCTCGTCCACCTCCACGTACAGCGGATTGACAATGTCGTGGTGCAGCAGCTCAAAGTTGGGGTGGCCGATCCAGTGGGCGATGTTCAGTCGACGACCTAAAAAGGAGTAAGAAAAAAAGTTAGTGTTGTTGAAACAATTTTCCCCTGTTTGTGTTTTTTACCCGTGTAAAAGTTATCCGCCACTATCACCTCATGTCCGTCCAGCAGTAGTCGATCTAGAAGGTGAGAGCCGACAAAGCCGGCGCCGCCAGTGATGAGAATGCGCTTCTTCTCCGAGTATGGCAGCTGTTTGGTTTTCATGTACTGCTGATAGTTATTACTGCTGCCCTGTTGTTGTTGGTGATGACGTGAAGAGGAGGAAGATGACAATGGCGGAAAGAGTTGAGCTCCATTTTGGTGCCCTTCAAAGGACGCCTGTTTACGTTCCATCTCTTCGAGACGCTGGCGAAGACGGCTAATCTCACTTTGCATCTCCTCAATAAAAGTTGCCTGAGAAAGGGGAGAGATTTGTTTTGCCGCAGACTGAAGTGGTGACTGCAGTTGCAGTGGAGCTGCATGTAAATCATCTTTGAATGAACTTTCAAGGTGATAGGCGTCTTTGCTCTTATCAATTGCGTTATTTTCTTGACTGAACGACGGCTGAAGATTGACACCGTCAGGAATAGGAGGACCAGATGAGTAAAAGTTGAGTCGATTGTAAACTGAAAACGAAAAAATTGTTAATACTTGAAATAAGATTTGAAAGTTGTCATTATCTTACCTAGTGTTAGCGAAAGAAAGACAACGACTAAACAGACGAATAGTGAACGTAATAAATTACGTCTTAAAGTCATTATTAAAGAATTTGAATTAGTAGGCATTGACGTTTTTGTTGATTAACGTTGATTTGAACAACTAAATTGGCAGTTAAAAATATTTTGAATCGTTCGGAAAAAGTTTAAAGTAAGTTTGATGATATGAATTTGATGTTTTAAATGCATTAAATGTAAAATGCTTTTTGCTGCTGCTCTTGTTTTTATGATAATGACCGGTCAACATGCACAACAAAATGAGGTTTTTGTATGCTGATGAGACTGGAAATGATAGCAATGACAAAGATGCTGATAAGATGTATCAGTTTGTAAAACTTTTGACGATGATTTCGAAATGATCAAATGGTAGTTTTTCCCATTATTTGAGTTGATTTCCTTTGGAAAATTGTGGTAATGCAAAACAAGGTTCATTTGATTGTAGTAGTAGTGATGATTTTTAATATCTGGGTTACTAGTATTGAAAACAACATTTTTGCAAACAGACAGCAAATCTGAGGTTTTTGAAACTAATTTGTTGCTACTGTTAAAATATGCCAGTGCAAGGCATTTAAGTTTTATGGGTTGTTTTCTGCAAAGTACAAATGTAAAAGTTAGCAATTTTATGTTTTAATAGGCCACAAAGTTTGCTTTTAGGGCATAATGATAACATTAATAAAAATTACCAGTAATAACGAGTTACCACGAAGTTGATCAGCTGAGTAGCAATCAAAAACAAAACCAAATGTTAATGTTACCGCACCTCAAAAGAGTGCACTTGGTGCAAAACCAGCACTGTTATGTAGATTATTGTAAAATGCACAATAGATAGATGTTGTTAAAGTTAAATTAAATTTTAAAATGCAATAGTTATTAGTTTATTTTTCCTTTTTAAGTCAAAGGTGAAAAGGCTGACAGGCGTGTGAAGATGAAAACATTGAGTGAGTGACTCAGTTTTGGCGGCAGCAGCACTGCTAACACCGACAGTGTAACTCTCAGACAGACGCAGTAGGTCGGTATTGTCGGTTTCAGTTGCATATGCTTTATATATTTTTAAAATAAAAAATAATTTAAGTAGCTGATAACAAGGTTTTATTCAACATTATGCATTTAAAATTTTTATTGTTGTTAATTTTTTTACAAATAAATGCTTTTAAAAACATATTTTTTAAATCACAAAAATTAGTTAACCTTGTGCACTAAATTTAACGTGCAAACATTAAGTCAAGTAATACAAATTTTCCGATTTGTTTATGTTTTTCTTGAATATTTTGCCAATTTACAGTTTAGGCTAATAGTTTAGTTGGTTTTCCCATAAAATACATGTAAATTAAATAAACGGCTGTAACAAAAGAAATTGTTACTGAAAACTATCAATTGGTGTAAACGCAATTTAGACAATAGTGAATACTGACATTTTTGTTATCTAAATATTAAGAAAAACAAAACATCAAAAATAAATTATAGCAAGTTTGTTTTTAAGTAAGTCAAACAAACAAATAACACAATATTTGACAAAAACAAAAACAACTTTATTTTTTAAATTTTTAAATTTTAAGTTTTTAGTTTTACTCGTTGTAGCTAAACATTAAAACAAGGTTAGTTTAAAAAAACTTTTTTAAAAACTAAACTTAAAATATCACAAAATAGAAAAACCAAAATTTAAAATAAATTACTAAACTACTAGTTTTTAAAAGCAATTTTTTAAAATTTTAATATGAATAATAAAAATTAAAAATTAATTGCTAAAAATGCAAAAAATAATGCATCTTTGTAAAATTGATGTCAAAGTTTAAAAAGTAAAGCGAAAAAGAGGAGAAAAATCTGATCAAATCCTTGTAATTTAATTCCTTTCTGATCGTTTATTTTTGACAAAATGCTATCACCATCGTCATCACCTGAAGCCGGTAGTGATCCTATCTGTATAATACTACTGCTGTTTCTGTTGCTGCTCAGACCAATCATCCGCAGCAGCTGTACTGATGCTGTCTTTAGGAAAATGCAAAATTGCCCGGCATCAACTGGGCAAAACCGGGCATCATCGTTAGAAAAGGAGCACCATCATTTCACCTCATATCCCCTCATTGAGGCACTAAAGTTTGAATTGCCGAGTCAAGTAGCCATTAGCTATTGCCTATCGGACAGTCGAGCAGTTAAGCAAACGGAGACAGCTTTGTAAGCATCAGCAGCACTTTACCATCAGCTATTTACAGCAGACAGCAGACCTGTCGCTGTCGCCGCTTAGAGTCGTCAAATCGAAAGTGAAGTAAAGTAATTTCGTCTCTTCTATTGACTTCCACTAAATTTGGTCTATTGTCTGTCTGCTACTGCTTCTGCTAACTGACTGTCCAATCAGCAACAGCAGCAACTGCAGTAGTAGTATAGAAGTTAGGGGCACGCATTTTCGGGGGCAATTTTGCTGACGTCCTCGATTTTTCCCTTTTCCCATTTTGCCCTGTCTTTTTCTCTATTTTTCAGGCTAAACAGACGCAAATAGCGCCCAGGCAGTCAAAGCCATTGTATTTTGTACCACAAAAGTTGCTGCATTGCTAGACAGCAGCAACAAGCACAGCTTACTAATCGATTTGACCACACACTGATCATCACTATTTATTGTTGCAAATAGAGCTGCAGTTGGGGCACATGCCTTGCGTTCTATCTTCGAACTACTGTTTTCGGTTAATAATTTGAATTTAGACTGGGTAACCCCAAAAAGTAGTCGAATTTTAGTAGTTTCACCAGTTTAAACCATCATCATCAGATCCGGTATTTTTTAAATTTCAATAGTTTGGGTTTTTTGCACATACAAACTGCATTTTTGTTATCACCAATTCATCCACTGTATACTTTAGAAAAACAGCAACAGTTTTCCCTTTGAACAAGTGAACAAGCATTTGCACTTTTTCAGTAACTTTTTGGCGGCAAATTGAGTTGTCAGTAGCTCTTTTTAAAACTGTAAACAAATTTGATTTATAAAATGAAATCGTATCTGGGAAAATCTGACCACAACTTTCCCGTTTTCTGACTTTAACATTTGCTCACAACATTTTACCTACTGCTATTTTCTTCTTTATCACTACTCTAGTCAAGTAAATGCTATTTTGGCACTGTTTCTAGTGTCTGCCGGCTACTGCTGTTGTCCGTTTGCCAACTGCAATCAGAAACTGTTTTAGCGGTAATGCATGTTGCGCAACCGCCATCATCATCACAGCCGTCATCACCATCATCATCATCATCGAAGGGACTGCCTGTCAATGGCTGACTTTCTGCTGACCGGTCATCGGCTGTTTGTCCGTCTACTGTCTCTGTCTCTGTCGGACAAACTGTTGCTGCCTCGGCAATGCGGACACTCCGCCGCCGCTGTTGTTGCTGCTGTTGTTGCGAAGTGTGAGTGTGTGTGTGCTCCTCATTTCCTTCTTTGAATATTTCTACTTTGCCTTCTTTCTTTCGTTTCTCTGTCTTCCTCAGTTCCGTCCGATCTCGAGAGTCGATCTCTTATGTCCCTCTCTTTCTCTCTTTCTTTTTCTTTCTTTTCCTTCTCTTCGTCTTTAGTCCATCGACTACTTTGAAAGATTTGCTGCCCGAGTGCGCCCGCCANTGCTGACCGGTCATCGGCTGTTTGTCCGTCTACTGTCTCTGTCTCTGTCGGACAAACTGTTGCTGCCTCGGCAATGCGGACACTCCGCCGCCGCTGTTGTTGCTGCTGTTGTTGCGAAGTGTGAGTGTGTGTGTGCTCCTCATTTCCTTCTTTGAATATTTCTACTTTGCCTTCTTTCTTTCGTTTCTCTGTCTTCCTCAGTTCCGTCCGATCTCGAGAGTCGATCTCTTATGTCCCTCTCTTTCTCTCTTTCTTTTTCTTTCTTTTCCTTCTCTTCGTCTTTAGTCCATCGACTACTTTGAAAGATTTGCTGCCCGAGTGCGCCCGCCACTGCGCGCGCTCTCTTTCTCTTTCTCTCTTTCTCTCTCTCTCTTTCCCGATCTGAGAACCCGTTTTATGCCGTTTCTGTTTTAGCCTTTGCCGTCACTTGGCACCTGCATTGGCCAGTCCAGTGCTGTTTTTCTTACAGTGCCTGCTGACGGCCTGATGCCGTTTCGGTTTACCAGTCACTACTAACACAGCAACACCACAGCACACAGCACACAGCACACAGCACACCATCTGATGATGTCAATTGACTGTCCGAAACTTCCACTTTTTCTTCATTTTTCGACACTCTCCTCCCCCACTGCTGCTCATTTCAGCCCAGTAGCAGCAGCAGCAGCAGCTAATATTGCACACACACGTTTTCTTTTTGCTTACGCGTTGTGTCCATTTGTCCACTCCAACATTTTTGTTGTCCCTTTTTCCTCCTTTCCGTGCTTGCATGAGCAGCAGCAGACACCAAAGCATCTATCTGCGTCATCTATTGTTCATCTAATGTGCATATTTGTGCACATTTTGTTTGTTTTTTGCCTAATGACCAACTTGGCTGGGTGTTTTAGTTGGCGGCAGCAGCAGCAGCAGCAGCTCTAGTTCTTTCGAGTGTTGAGATAACGTGGCGGATGCTTCCAGCAATTTTGCGTTCAGCTCAGCTCAGCTCAACTCAACAGGTCAACTCAGACGCGCGCTCGCACACACACCCGCGTACAAAGTGATCTAATCACCGGCTACTGAAGTGGCCATTACCGGTGGCAAACTAGCTCACTCGCTCACTCACTCACTGACTCACTCATTTTGACCGGCTATTGATTGGCCTCTCCATCTTCAGCAGCAGCAGCAGCATTTGCGCCACCGCCGCCGCCGCCGCCGCCGCCTATGACTCAGACTGAGACTCGGCGTCGACACATCGCG